TTTGTGTTTTTTATTGTCTTTGATTGCAGTGCTTACCCTCTGACAGGCAAATTTCAGGGTATTTGATAGCTATTTGTCTTATTCTTGCACAATATTTTTTTGTATAAATTTAATACAGAATTCAACCACACATGATGCTACCAGTGAAACTAACTCAACTGAACTAAGTAGTAGGATGACTAGACACCAATGCATGTTTAAATTGTTTTTGATGTAGTTTTGTGGTATTGAGTGTATCTGATTTTTAGGAAATTGGGATCATAATATACAGCTTTTGAATCCATTTTTCCTGAGTCCCCTAAATAACAAGGGGAAGTGGAAAATTATAGCCAGTGGTGGCAGAGTTGTTTGGTCTGACCATTCTGGCTTTCAGTCTGGTCTCAGGGTTGGTTTCTGTAGGATATTCCTGCTGTGACAGCTCTTTCCCCCTTACCATTAGCTTCATCATTTGGATTCCTCCCTTCCAAGTACTAACCAGGCCCGACCCTGCTTAGCTTCCGAGATCAGACGAGATCGGGCGCATTCAGGGTGGTATGGCCGTAGACCATCATTTGGATTCCTAAAATGTTATCTGTGTACAGGATTGGGGGGGAAATAAAAATGTGGAGAGGAGAGCGCAGACATCTAGCTGCTTAGAGGCCTTGATGCATGAATGCTTAGTACGTTATTAGAAATTGCCATGTGGAGGAAGACAACTAATATGTGAAACAGATCAATGGAATTGAGAAGATTCAGTTGAAAGTCTTTGTTTTACAAATATTTTTTTTTTTTTTAATTGTTCCAGTTGCAGGTAATCACTTTTTGTTGTGTTTTCAGTCATGTGCTAAGCAATTTAATTTGGGCTTTATCTGTGACTTTCTTTTGCCAAGAAGTTCATTTAATAAACATCTTTCTGAGCAGATTAATTATGTTAGGATTATTATGTTTTTCTCTTAATTCTTGGAATGATTTCCCTAAATTCTCCACAGATTTAAATTCATTTGTAATTTCTATTTGTTAAGGATACCAGGTACAATTTCTTAAATTTGTTTCTGGCAACTAGGTTCTAGATTAGATTTATGTTGCTACTTTAAATTATAGGCACATTTTTGTTTGTTTGGCTTGTACCTTTCCCGAGGGAAAAAACCCATAATCCATTAACTTTTCAGGAAATCTATAAATCAATAAATTTACTTTTAGAGATTGCAGGGTAGTAATTTTGAAGATCAGTCAGAATAAACTGTTGTACTGTTTTAAAGGATTTTTGCATCTTAAAAAAAAAATTTCTCCTAATCACGTGTAGTGGGTAGATTTTAGAAGATGTCTGCTGAGTTAGCAGTGTCTATTTCTATGCTAAAATCCTATTCTAAAGTTAATACTTCATCTACTTCAGGTAAAATGTTCTGAAATATAGATTGTAAAAGCAAAGCTTTGGACACAAAACCAAAGCCTGCAAACATTTATTGAATCACAAGAAGTAAAGCAAATGGATTTAATTTATGTAGTACACAAAATAGTTGATAGTTGTACACTAATTTTATAATGTGACTGATCACATGCTCTTGAGTTTTCTTTTAATGGCAAAATATCAGCCTTTATTTGCCACTTCCTGGAAGTGGTACTAAAATTACTGGATATAGCCAAGCTCTCCTAAACATTTTTTAAAATAAAAATCCACTGTTAAGCTCTCCCTTACCAATATGATTTATTTGTGCTGTAATACAGTCTCTATTGTGTTGTATTTTCACATATGTATGTACCTATTCCCACATTATATCATGAATAATGTAATACTTAGTCAACTTATGGATCTTAAGAACTGTGTATTTTCTGTTCACTATTCTTAGGTCTTTTGTGGTACAGCAAGGTGAACAAATAAGTCCCTGGTCTCAAGAAGTCTGGTAGGGGAGGCATGGTAAGAGAATGAGGCACTACACAGTTGTAATAAAGGAGGTTCGTATGTGTCTCAGTGAGTAGTGGGGTAAATAATCAAGGGAGGAAGCTGATTTGGGCTGAACCTTGAAAGAGATGGGCTAGATTTGTGGCCAGAACAATAGTAGAAGGAAATACCTGGTAGATGAATGAGTAATGTTATGGCAGCAGAAGTGTGCAGAAAACAGAGGAACTTCCGGTGACATGCTATGGTAAGAGTAGGAGATGTGGGGCAAGTGAAATTATAAAGGCAAGTGTAATGGATACACATTTTGGTTTTTTTGGACAACTTGAATTACTTTAGTACAAATAGTTTTAATGTACATTCTGTCAGATTATCTTAAATACACCTTAGATTTTTGTAATTCTTTTGTAGAATATATAATTCTATCTTAAAATTCAGATAATCCATTTCATAAGCTGAAGAATTATGGGATTGCTTTATAAATGCACTCCAAAATGACCAGGGCATGGCTAGATGAGTTGACTAGGAAAACAGCTAATGTAGAAACCAAAATATGGCCCAACATATATATTATATTATCATATCATATATATATACACACGTATATATGTATATTTTCAAGATCCCTCTGTTTTGGGGTGCCTGGGTCGCTCAGTCGATTAAGTGTCTGACTCTTGGTTTCGGCTCAGGTCATGATCTCAAGGTGGTGAGATGGAGTCCCACGTCGGGCTCCATGCTCAGCGGGGAGTCTACTGGAGATTCTCTCCCTCTGTCCCTCCCCCTACTCAATCTCTCTTTCTCTGGAATAAAGAAAATTTTTTAAAAAAGGTAATTCCTCAATTTTTCAGATAGTATTGTATGTGCAAGTGGGCATACCTGTTGACATATTGTTTTCCACTTATTTTCCCTTCAGATCCTAGAATGAGATATTTATTTAACTACTTAAATGTCTATTAAGTTACTATTATGACCCTTTCCCTTAAGAAGGTATACTCTAGAAGGAAAAGCTAAATCAGTCAATGAAGAAAATAAAAGTAGAGAAAGGATAATGAGAGAAAATGGAGATTAAAGACCTGTATGAGAGTGATGAAAGACTCATTAATCACAGAAAAGTAAGAGAAGAGAATCAAGCAGAGGAGGAACAGAAAGACTAGCAACTCAAATGATCTAATTTAGAATTTTCCAAAGATAGATTTGTGTGAGTTTCTGTGTGGTATGTGTGCATACACTCTAGTAGTGAAAACAAGTATCCATTTGGGTACAGGGCTCTAGTAGTCTATTTATGTTCATTTTTAAATTTTAAAAATTAAATATTAATATTTAACATAGGTGTTCAAATTTGTACCCTTATTCAGTCCGATGTCAGAAAGTCCTGTCTAAGGTGGCACATAAAGGGATTTCGAAGAGTGGAAGCCCCACCGAGCAGCAGTGGCCCTCCCAGTCCTTCAGTCCATTTCTGGGAATTGCCATGTGTCTGAGCTTACTTTTATAAGTTTACTTGTGTTTGATCATGTAGATTTATGGCTTATATTATCTAGTTTCAACCAGATCCCACAAAACAGACTAATAATTTAAAGATTTCTATAAAAGAAAAAATGTGAATATAAGAAACGTGACTAGGATTAGGAAACAAGATAATGGTAGAGTTGATACTTAAACTACTGGAATGAGCTTTTCACCTGCCACGATCTAATAATTTTAGAAGATGGTTAAAATTATAAGAGATTTTCAAGAAGGACATTTGACATATAGGCACAGATCTCTCTCTCTCTCTCTTTTTTTTTTTTTTTTACTTTTCTGTGTTTTTAAAATGTATGTGATTCAGTAGCACATGTTAATTATTTATAAATAAGTAGAATGAATGTATGCCAGAACTTTTCTCTGATAAGGGTACTCTGCCAGTTTTTGGATAACAAGTAGCCCTATATAGCTTATAACTCAAAAATTCTCAAAATCTTTGTGATAGAACAATTGATGTTTGTAACAGATAACCCAGAGGTAAACAGAGCCTAGTGGTAATTTGTTTGGACTCAACAATCATGATGTCTGTAGAACATTTCTCTGGTAGGTGTTGGAAAGGGTCTACCAACTAGTTCACAAGTGTCTCGTGCCAAAACACCTTGGTGCTCGCTCCAGTGTCTTGAAGCACCAGTGACTGGTGGGATATTGTGTGTTGACGGAGCTATCTATAATTTCAGTAAATGTGTGCCATGTTTAATAAATACTATTTAATTCCTAGGTATTATAACTTGCCTACCTGGAAGTGCTATAGTAGCACTGAGGTTTAGTATGGCCATGGAGTTGGCAGTGAGCTCAAATGAGAGTTCTAGTCAATTAAAGATAACGATCAGAGAGGAGCAAACTTCAAGGGATTAAATTCTTTCTCTAGTTATTCAGTGTATTTGCTTAGTTATCTTTTTAGTGTTTACTGACTTAATTCACCGGTGAGGTGTAGGAGGTAAAGCTCCTGCTTTCTTTCTGTGGCATCCGCTTGCCCTCTCGCGTGAAATTGTGCTCGAGCCCAGCACCTGGGGGAATCTGCTGTGGTCAGCATTCCACCCAAGAGCCGCTACTGTGACAGGGTGTGCGAAAAACACCTCGTATATTGACACAGAAGGCTCACAGAAAATAACGTGCTGTGGCTTAGCAATTCAGATGACTGGGTAAACTCTGTAAAACGTAAACTCTGAAGAGATGAACCTTGAAACCAATCATGCATTTGTCTTTGTTAAACAGAATATGTAGAAGATCAGTTGATACCAGTCTTTATGGCTCATGAGCCTAGATTATGAGCACACTATCCTGGGCCCTGTTGTAGTAGTATTTGCACAAGTTAAGTTGAATGGGGGTGAGTGTACACTTTGTGCAAATTCATCTCTTCCAGTCTGATTTTGTTCATTGTGTCAGCCTTTTAGGAATGTTGTAAAGATTCAGTGCCTGCCACATACTACTCAAAAGTTGCTGCTGTTGTTCATGATGACAGTGGTTGAGGGACAGAAGGATAATCACTGGTGATGGGGACCTTACAGACGTACATAGAATTTGAGACATGAAAATTTGGTATGGGAAATTTCTTAAGCTGAACTTGTTTTAGGGCACACTGAATATTTTACTTTCCTTTTTCTCAGCATCAGCAACTTGTGATTGGTGGTACCGGATATTCAATTGCACATCCCCACATCAATGCACTGCCAATGGTAAGAATCCCTCCCACTCCCAATGCTAGTGTTTTAATTGGTCTTTTGGTTATTTCTTATTTGTAAGCATCTATCAAGAATTTTTAAAGTTTCTCACAGTTTGACAAAATACATCTATGTCCTGGAGTAAAGAAATGTTTTAAAAAATATGTGTAATGTAAGGCGCTTAAAGTAATTTTTTGATTATTTAATTAAAAAAGAAAAGGGTGAACCCATAGTTTGCAGATTTCCATTATCCATAGATTTATAGCTCTTGACTATGGTTGCCAGGATGAAAAGTATTATATAGCAATGATCTTGTATTTTAACAAGTGGGCTCTATTTTGTGAGTACAATTTTCTTGTTAAACTGAAGCTTAGGTTCAATAATAGCTCTTTGTGTTTTTGTCAGTCATCTTACTAAAATAGTCTTTTTGCATATTGTATTTATCTTAATATTTATAGATAATGGGCAATTAAATGGCTAAAATTTTACCTGTTTTTAGAGAGTGAACGATTTTCAGGAGAACGATTCTTACTATTTAAAAAGATCATTTTAGAAACCTTTCTGTGTGGAATAACAATCTGTGAACTGTGTTATACAGCACAAAAGCCACTCTGTAGGAGTTGAGATTTGCTTTCTTTTCTGCCTATGTCTTGGTTGACTTTTGGCAAAAACTCTTGTAAAATTAGATGATAAAATCGGACAGATTTCTAAAGTTTATTCTCACTGTAGGCTAAGTGATCTCATTACTGTTTACTAAAATCAGAATGATTCTCCCATACAAAAAATAATTCCTTACCTAAATGGTATTGGTATGTATTTTAGAGTTCAATAAATGTAGAAGAATGAATTTTTACCTTTTGGGTTTTTTAGAATTAATTACTTAATCTATTTCAAAATATTTTCTATAGTACATTATTAAAATTTTTATTTTATTTTTTAAAAAAGATATTATTTATTTATTTGACAGAGAGATAGCACAAGTAGGCAGAGCAGCAGGGAGAGGGAGAAGCAGGCTCTCGCTGAGCAGGGATGATGCGGGGCTTGATCCCAGGATCCTGGGATCATGACCTGAGCCGAAGGCAGCCGCTTAACTGACGGAGCCACCCAGGTGCCCCTCAAATTTTTATTTTAAACATTAAATCAAGTAGCTATAGAAACTGATAAAGGCTCATAGAATTTGGTGGGAAATAATAGATGCATCAGTCTGAAATAAAAGCTACTAAAAATTAACTAGAACCAGGATAGGTGGGTGAGATGAGTTACCTGTGAACATATTCCTAGGAAATGATTCATTTTAAAGATGGACTTGTCAGTATATTGTTTAAGAGGAAGATTTCCTCTCCCTGTTCCTTCTCTCAGCAGTTAATGGGGAATGTTGAAGAAAATAAGAATTTTTTGTACGGCCTTAACCTAGCATGAAGGATCCATGGTTCTTCATTAATTTGTGAGACACTTGCTGGGTTCTTTAAGGTGCTTGGGTGACTCATTAACCACTGTTAAATCTGCAGTTTCCTTTGGAACATTACAGTTTCTCATACAAGAAACAGCTCTGTGGTAAATCAACTCCATCATTTGGATTACCTGCCCTTGGCTTTATGTTTGAAGTTCACATTTGAAACCCGTTGGTTTTCTTGATTGTTGGAGCCTTAATCTATGGCATGTCCCCCTTGAGAATCCATTGTGCAGGCTTCTTGGGTATCTGAAGTGCAGGTGCTGTGCAAGTGGTTCTCTCTTCTAAGTGCTTATCTTCAGGTGAATTTTTCAGTGTGCCCCTCACAGAGACTATACATTGTGTTGTTTTTGGAACAGCTCTTAGACTGTATTTCAAATCAGATTATTTTCAACTCATTTGTCATTTTTGTTGAGAAGTCCTGAAATCATTTTTAAGTCATGACCACAGAAATTTATGTTCATTTATGTTGGTTCTAAATAAGTGTTAGAGATAAAGAAGGCCAAGATCACAACACACTTGCTTGTGGTCTAGCTGAGGACACCACAGCCATTTGTACACATTTGCATGATGTGCTAATGCACTTATAGGTATTGGTTCACAGTGATAGTTTTCTCTTGAACCTGAGAAATGCCCAAGTTTTTAGTGAAACCTGTGCTATGTAGTATCCTGTATTTTTTTTCCCCTGAAAATGCTATAAAGGAATGCTTTGTGGGAATGTACAACTTACCTCTACCACCCCCACCCTCAACTTTTGTGATATAAGGATGAAGGATTCGTATATTCTTTTTAGCTTACTCTTCACTTACCTAGGTACAAGTTATTTTAACTCTAATTGCACCTTACATCATTACGATTTACAGCTACTTTCCTAAATAAATGTTGCATACTCTTTTCTGTAAATATCTCATTGTATTAATAGAACCCGTTGGCCAGCAAGTGTGTATTATTATTTTAACTTTTTATTGTGCACGTTTTCAAACGTACACTGAAGAAGACAGAATAGCATAATGACCTCTCACCCAGCTGCAGTAGTCACCAATTTTGTCATCTTTAACCATGTTGTTCCATGTCTCCTTCCACCTCCTCCCCCCAGTTATTTTGGAGCCAATACATGTACCACATGATTTCATTCATAAATATTATTTTTTTTTTGAAGATTTTATTGACAGAGAGAGACACAGCGAGAGAGGGAACACAAGCAGGGGGAATGGGAGAGGGAGAAGCAGGCTTCCCGCAGAGCAGGAAGCCCTATGTGGGGCTCAATCCCAGGACCCTGGGATCATGACCTGAGCCGAAGGCAGATGCCCAACAACTGAGCCACCCAGGCGCCCCTCATTCATAAATATTTTAGTATGTATCTATGTAAGATACTACTTAAAAATATATACAATACCATTGTCACACTTTAAAAATTGACAATAATTTTTTATTGAAAAGGGATTTAAATATACTTTTGAAAAATTGTAGTAAAAAACATAAAAATTTGTCGTCTTAAATATTTTTAAGTGCACAGTTCGTACACGTAAGTGTAAACTGTATTCACATTGTTGTACAAGAGTTCTCTAGAACTTTTTCATCTTACTGATACCCAGTGAACAAAAACCTCCCGTTTCCCCCTCTTAGCAGCAGCGGGCAACAATTATTTTATTTTACTTTTTGGTTTTAGGAGTTTGATGTTCGCTACTCTCTACAGTATAAGTGGAATCATACAGTATTTGTCTTTGTCTTTTGTGACTGGCTTACCTAGCATAATGACCTCTAGGTTCATCAGTTTTGTGGCATGTAGCATGTGACAGGATAGCCTTCTTTTTAGAGGTTGACTGTTCCATTATATGCATATACCATATTTTCTTTATTCATTCGTCATTGAACATTTAGGTTGCTTCCATCTTTGGCTTTTGTGAATAATGCTGCATTGAACATGTGTGTGCAAATATCTCTTCAAGATTCTGCTTTTACTTCTTTTGGGTGTGTACCCAAAAATGAGACTCCTAGATCATATGGGAACCTCCATATGGTTTTCCAGAGTGGCTGCACCATTTTCCATTCCCACCAAAAGTACACAGGGGTTCTGATTTTTCTCTGCATTCTTACAACACTTGTTATTTTCTGTGGTGTTCTCTTCTCCCCTCCCTCCCTCCTTTCTTCTTTCCTTCCTTCCTTTCTTTCTTTTTTTCTTTCTTTCTTGGTAGTGAACATTCTAATGGATATGAGATTATGACAATAATTTCTTAATATCACTCAATAGCCGTTTAGTTTAGTTTTCCTCATTTGCTCATAAACTGTTTCTACAAAATCCATACATTATATTTGGTTGGTATGTACATCTTACTCTTCTACCTCTTTACTTACTGCATTTTTTCCCTTTTAATTTATTTGCCATGTGAGGTTTCCTCATTTTGTGTTTTAATTGCATCCCTATAGTAAAAAGCCTCTCTTTCCCTTGTGCTTTTTTGCAAATCAGTAGTTATATCTAAGAGCTTAATCTAATTCAGGTTTTTCTTACTTTATTTTGTGGTGTCAGGGTGACAGAATATTTCATAAGGAGGTCCTTAAGACGTACATATTTGTCTCTGTGATATTAGGTGACTGTTGACCACTGCTTAGATCTCTCAATGAGAACATGCAAGATGTTGGTATCCTAATTATATCAAGGGTTTTAAGTGTCATTGAGCTTGTGGATTTAAATATTTTATATGTTTATTACATTGCAGTTTTTATTCTTATTATGCTTCAAATGGTCTTGGCCAAGGAGCCTTTTTAAGTTGGCTTTTACATAAACTTTTTTCTTTTATATTTTATAATAGTATGTATTATTAGATATAAATGTAATAGAAAATAGCATAAATGTATTATGAAAATATAAAATATAGAATATATAAGTGAAACGTATAAGATAAATTTATAAAATCATATAGAACTATTATATATAATATTGATTTTTATTTTAATATATATTTCTCTATTTAAACCAGTACCACTAACATGATTCCTAAAAATTGCTTTTTTGGCCTATGTCCCACTGAGGCTTACAGTCAAAGTATCGTTTTTACAGTACTTGAAGTAAATCCACTTGTATGATTTTTGTGCCATCTTGTTACATAGTCACGTCTGTTTATTTCATTTTTAGTATTTAGAATTTAAATATTTTGATTTAGATTTGTTCTGTAATTATATATAAAACGTTTATGTTACTTCAAAGTAAGATACATTTTTATTTTCTTACTCCCCTTCTAGATAACTGGTTTTTATCTATAGTGCTAGTTTAAAAAAATATAAGCAAACCCATGTACATACTTATATCGGAGATCATCTTATAGTGCTGTATAGTCAGTCCTCATTCCTTTTCATGGCTGTGTGATAGTCCATTATATGGATGTACCATTCCGTTTCAAGAATGGGAGTTGTAGATGTGATCATAAATATCCATGTTATTTTTTTAGGCAATTTGCCAAATTCCCTTAAACATTATGGCATCTTATATTCCTTCCAGCAATGTATGCAGTTGCCTGTTTACTCACTTGCAGACAGTGTATAGTCAGAACTTTTAGGGTGGGGGTGT